CCTGGGGGACAATCCATGAGACTTCCTGCCCTGCTCCTAAGCAGAGTTGGCCTGGCCAGTACTGAAAAGTTTGCCTGGTGTCAACCTGGAAGAAACAAAACAAAACAGGACTATTTTCTGCGGGCTGTAATGTTTACACAGCTCTGGCTTATCCTGTGGCCTTCAACAAGTCAGAACAAATGGGGTAACAGCCTCTGAGGACTTGAAAAAGACCAGGGAATACAACCAGTCTCTTAAGTAATAGCAAGAAGCACCCAGCCAGAAACTCTGCACAGAGGCAGACACAGGTTATAACAAGGTCTGAATCCCAAAGTTTGTTGTATTTTTCATGACACACCCAACTGATTGCATAAAACCCCACAAAAGGAGCGTAGGGAAAGTCTTCTATTTTTAGACTGAAACATGGAACTCATAAATTAAGGTGCCATATATTTTTACACTTGGGGGTAAAACAACTTCCAATTAGGAGAAACCAACAACAATACACACATATCAGATCTAACAGTGGTAAACAGTATTTATTCAGGCAATGAAACATGGAAAAAATATATTAGTAATCATTATAATAATTTCATTTGTATGAGTATAACTTTTACAAATATTTACCTGACATATAAAAAGGGAGTTACTATGTTTATAAAATTCATGTTGATGATTATTCCACACAACACAATCCTGACAGCAGTAGTCAATGTAGCACTTGCCCCTCTAGATGAGGGCTCCTCACACGACCTGGGCGTCCGTGGGGACACAGGGAGATGTGCAGTGGAGGTCTACTTGTTGGCACGTTAGTACAGCGGGGATCTACAAGCAAACACACACTTGCTGACACAACAGAGAAGTCTACCGCTACCTCTGAGATGCGAAAGTGCCAGGGTCCTGTTCCATGGCTGGGCAGGACAGAGGCCAAAGCCCATGCCACAGGTGTAGTGACCTACAGACTGCCCTGTATCTGGACTGGGCGTGGTTTTTTAGTTCAAATATGCATGTATTCACTTGAAAATTATTCCTAAGTTTAGAATATCAGTTGGTGACCTGACCAGAAGACACGGTGTGGAGTACTGTACATTCCAGATGCCACGGACAGGCAGAGGCAGAGACAGTGGCCTCTTGACTGGCAAAGTGAAGAGCCGACACTGGGAAGGTCCAGGCCACCCCAGACTCTGAGCCCGGCCTCTTCTGGACAAGTTAAAGCATTGTACAGACTGCCACAGGCCAGCATGGCACGCAACATCTCCATTTTAGGACTAGAACCAGAATATATATTTATATAGTAGCCGTAACCATATTATAGTTAATAAAGTCATTCATTCCTTAGGAATCATGTTTGTCCAAATCTAAATGCATGCGAAGAGGCACAGAAATGGGATTGCATTTGGACGAAAAACTATGAAAAGTGCAATCTTTAGACTCCAGAATGCAAGCTCTGGCACAAGGAAGTGGGTCTGCACTGGAGAACGGTGCCGTGTGTCTGTCATCAGAGGAGACCTTCACAGGGGGTCCGGCACATCGACTCCTTCACCTTCTCTGTGTGAGAGGCTCAAAGACTGAATGGTAAACTGTTTTTCCTTTTTTCACAGCACTGGGAAGGGAATCCAGGCCTCACACATGCAGGGCAAGTACTCCTCTGCTGAGCTACACCCCAGTCCCATAAACTGATTTTTAAAAATAAATGGAATGTGGAGTCCAATGAAAGCTTTTTGGACAGAAACCTTACTTTTTTTATTTTATTTTTTTGGTACTGGGGTTCAAACTTAGGACCCTACACTTATGAGAAGCGCAGTGCCACTGAGCTCAACCCCCAGCCCTCAGTACTTTTTTTTTTTTTTTTTTTTTGGTACCAGGGATCAAACTCAGGCCCTTGCCCTTGTGAGGCAGGTGGTGGAACCACTGAGCCAAATCCCCGGCCCCTCAAGGTACTTCTTTATTAAACTCTCTGAAAAACATGACTTCTTAGACCTTTGGCTTGACATTCTGGGATTCCCAGACTGTGTTCTTTAAGAAGCACATAGAAATCTGTTATCTTTGAAATTCTTCAGAATATATACATCTTTACTTAAAAATCTCTTGCCTGAATCATTTAATCTTTCAATACCTAGTTTCTCTCTTTCCAACACAAGGATAAGGAAATTCAAGTCTGAGAGCAAGTTCACAGGGTCACACCACTACCAAGAAACAACAGCCATGGGCAATTCAGGAGGAGATGGCTACCAAGTGTAATGAAAAACCAGCAAGGAAAAAAAAGCGGGGCTTTGGGGCACTCAGGCCAACCGCACAGGACGAGCTGAGTCACTCCGACGCGTGCACGTGTGCCCCACCCGCTGCGTCTCAGCCCCTCACCGGGGGGATCAGGCAGCCAAGTGTTGGGGTGGTCTGATCCCGTGGACACACAGACGTGCTCAGGGCCGTCCTGAGTGTGAGCCGCAGGGATGTGGGAAGCTGCCAGGGCCTCGGTTTCTCACCCCGCGCACAGCTGCACTTCCTAGTTTGGGCTGGGTCTGAGGAGGCTGAACACCCGGCATTTTAGTGTCTCCAGTGCCCCAGGTGGGGACAGGACACCGGTTCGAGGGGCTTCCGTCAGTGAGGCCAAGGGTGGGTATGACCGTGACCGTCTGCCCCAGCACACAGTCAACCGCTCAGCCCGCATCAAAAAACTGCCGGGACAGAGCGGTCTACATCTCGGCAAAGTCAGACGCTGAAGTGACTCTGAGTCAGTCTCAACAAGATCACAGTGATTCCCAAACCCTATGGAAACCTGCAGCTTCCTTCCACGTCCCTCCTGGAACAGGGTTTTCACTTCACAAGTCCGGGCCTCGCGTGCGCCGAGACCCTAGGACCCCGGGCGGCAAACCTGCGGCAGGGGCGGCGGCTGCCTGCCTCACGGGAGGCTCCAAACCGCTGTCCCCACTGCCCCGCACTACATTCTTACTTAACACAGTGCAAAAAAAGCCTTTTTAAAAGTATGTGTGTGCTTAAAGAAAAGATATTCTGCATTTTTCCTAGCATATTTACCCCGTCTATTCCCTTTCCTGGTTGAACCCGAGGCCTTTGCACTGAGTTACATTTCCAGCCCTTTTTAAATTTCTGAGATGGAGCTTGAGCTTGTGCCCCCACCTTCCCTGCCTCTGCGACCGCTAAGACTACAGATCTATCCCACCATGCCCAGCTCTTGCTACGCCAGCTGCACAAGCCATGGTTTTCTCTTGTTGGAGCGGACCTACCCAATGAGGGTGGGCCATTCCTTGTAACGGTCCCGACTGGGAAGCCAGCGGCAGTATCACCTAGCGAGGGCCCTGCCGTGTCCCTGTGCAGGAACCTCATTCACTAGGCCCTCGTTTTCAGGGGGTCTCTTAGAAGGACTGGCGTCAGCTCTGCCCTAGGGCACAGCACAGTGTACTTCTGAAACACACAGTAAGCTTAAGAAGACGCCCATGGGGCTGGAGATGTAGCTCAGTGGTAGAATGCTTGCTTGTATTAAGAACCTGGGTTTGATCTCTAGGACTGCGAAAAGATTTTTTAAAGAAAACAAGAAAGGCGACTAGCCATTATAACCCTAAAGCAGGGTGATATGAGCAAGTGAACACTGGTATGTCCACAAAACATAGCAGCAGCAGGAGGCTTTGTAACGTTTCTGCAAACCATGGCATCCACTTCCCTCGCAAGAGAGGACTAAGAGGAAACTGTACTTGAGACTGTGACTACTGGGACAGCATTCACAATAAGCCACAGCGACTACTTTAAAGCCCGAATGATTGTCAAGCCACTTCTCTAACCACAGATAATTTTGTTTTCTTTGTACAAAATGTTAAAGACAGTAGGCTTTAAAATACAGCCAAAGCACCAATTATAATAAATACGCATTGGTAAAACACGACTTCCAGATTTAAAAGACGTAACTGACTTCCCGGGGGCTAAAGATTGCACCCCCGTGAGTAACACACTGCTATGGAAATATTCACTTTCAAGATCTACAGAGGTTTTCACGAGGCACAGCTCATTGCTGAAGTTGGCTCATGCAATAGTTTTACAAGAGAAGTAGGAAAGCGCAGGTACTGAATACGGTGCACACCAACATGAAGCCTTTCAGAAAAAGGAGTGCTCTACAGAACACTGCCCAGATCCGGTTTGGCCTACCAAGTGGGGAGAGACACGCTGGCCACTGCGGGAAACGTCCATTTCGGGGTCACTGTCCACCACTCGGAGCCGAGGCTAGCCAGACCTTGGGGAGCACTGTTTTGCTCCTGTGACTTCTCATGTTCCCTCTTTGGTACTCAAACTGTCTTTGCTAAACATACTCTCAACAGGGCCAGGGATTAGCTCAGCGGTTTTGGCACCTGCCTTGCAAGTGCAAGGACCTCAGTTCAATCCCTGGTACCAAAAAAAAAAAAAAAAAAAACCTCATAATATGCTGAGACATGAAAGGGCTCACATGAGTTTTACTGCCAGCTTTGTTAAAATTCTATCTTAAGTTTGAAAAGATATATATTTTTTTAACATCTGAAGAACATACCAAGCCTGTAAAAAAAAAAAAAAAAAAAAAAAAAAAAAGAACCCTGTTTCTGTTCCTTATAATGGGTAATGGGCTAGTTACCAGTTCATTAACTAAACCCTTCACAAGTACATTTTTTGACATATTTCAAATAGATGCCGAAGGTGGGGTGCTGGGTCTGTAGCCACAAATGGAAGCAGAAGGGACCATTGATTCCAGGGCACATTTGCCAAACCCCAGCTCTGAGAGAGTCCTGTACAACCCTGACTGCTTAGGACTCAATCTCAGCACTAAGGGCCATTGAAGGTGAGGGGCAGCAGAACAAAATCTGCCCTGATGTGAAACAGTCTGCAGCCTTCACATCTGTGATTGCCATTTTTTTTCTTTTCTTTTCTTTTCTTTTTTTTTTTTTTTTGAGACAGGGTCTCACTATGTAGTTGAGATTGACCTGAAACTCACTATGTAGCCCAGGCTGGTCTTGAACTCACAGCGATCCTCCTGCCTCAGCCCCTTTTTTTTTCTTTTTAAAGACCAAGGACTCACCATGTTGCAAACTCATAGGCTCAAGGAATCCTCTTGCCTCCCAAGTAGCTGGGACCACACATAGGTGCCATAGCACTTGGCCTCAAATTCTTACATTGGCATTTGGAGACAGGGCTGTTTCCAACTGGTTTCTACATTTATGGAAATATGTTCTTCTTTTTTTTTTTGGTACCAGGGATCGAACTCGGGACCTTGTACTTGCAAGGTGGGCACTGTGCCACTGAGCTGAGTCCCCAGCCTGAAATAGATTTGTCTATAGATGTTCTTAACTGATATGCCTCCGGGGAAGAGCACCAGCACAGGTAGATATCTATGTGTAAGTGACAGTGTACACTGTATATACTGTATATAAAAGGGTACTTCTTGTTTATAAACTGAAATAATAGGCCAAATTGCCTCCTTTGATAATAAAAATGCTGATAATGAAAATTAATAGATCGAACAGGTCATAAGAATACCAGACAGGTGGTGAAGAGATGACCCCAAACAGTAGCCACAAAATCACAAATTTAACCAGCCTGGGGACAGTAAAGAGGATGCTAAGACACAGTAAAGACAGAACCACAGACCCACTCCGTGGCCCGGCTCACGCTGAGACGCCAGCCATCAGGGTCCACGCTCCTTCACGAAGGGGCCACGCTCCAGTCTCCTCTGGGGCCGCTGCACCAGCAGCAAAGCGGGACGGGCAGCAGGAGGCATGTGCTTTTTATACAGTTTTTGTTTTTTTCTCTGCAAAGGGGCAATTATTTCTGGATAAGGCAAGATTAACTGTGGTCACGACGGAAGCAGCAGGTGGAGATCTGCGGAGCCGACGGATGAATCTCAGTCAGTCTTTCCCAGCTTCGCAATTAGCTCATCACAGATTTTTGTCAATTCTTCAATTTCTTGGTTCTGAAAGAGAGGATAGAACTATGCAGGCCACTCTTGTGTTCTGAGATAAATGCAATTACAGCTAGAGTCCCAAGGCCAGCTAGGCTCTCCCAACTAATTCATTTTCTACATTTGAGATCTTTTAAGACCACATATACTTCCCCAGGAAAACATGGTTGCACTCATGCTATAAAGTTGAGACCGAGTTGAGGCAGGCGTGGTCACCAGCGCCGTGAAACCTGACTGTTAATCTCTTATTTCCCAGAATGTTTTGATATCACAGGAACTGCTGGGGTACTTGCTAAAAACACAAGTATTTGACTCTCTCCCAGGTATCAAGATTCTGGCGTCTGAAGAGCCCAGGGACATGAGACACCATCAGACACTAAGTTCAGAGGATGTCACGGGCCCGAATGTGTAGGTGAAAATGGATAAGTGAAGCACCGGTGGTGGAGAAGAACAAAGCCAGTAACTGCTGTGTGGCAAGAAGCAGGCACTGCTTCCACGGCCTTCGGAGCTCTCACAGCAGCACTGCTGGGCTGGGCTGCCAGACTTCGAGTGCATAAGCCTTCCCGAGCACGGCGGGGTGCTTGGCAGTGTCACTGGTGTCTCCCACTCTACACTAGTGAAGCCTCCCAGTCATGACAACCAGTTACTCTCCACACACTGCCTAATGTTCCCTGAAGGGCAAAACTGCCCCTAATTGAGAACCAATGATCTAAAGCAATGAAGGGGGAAGACAACTTCATGCACTGCATAAGAAACAAACTGGAGAGATGAAAGGTAGCCTCGTGATCCTGACAAGGAAGTGTTGGATTCCCTGAACTTCCGTGAAAAGTCAACTTCCTGTCTGTACCCTGACTGTAAAGGATTCTCCTAATATGCCTGAAGGTTAAGGATGGGACTTGTTTGTCTCCCCCAAGTTGGGTCGGTTCACAGAGCTGGGTTGAAGGCCACTCCCGCCAGCTCTGGTGAACTGCATACCCAGGCTTGGTACTGACGTGCTGGGGAGGAAGTGGAGGTCTTGGTAGTCTGCGGACTGAACCCCTGGCTGTACCTTTTGTTGAAGGGCCCTCTCCAGGGACTCCACCTTCATCTGCTCTTTCCGGAGTCCAGCATGCAGAGCTGCACTTTCAGCCTTTGCCTTTGTGCGAACCTGAGCAATCTCTTCGTTGGCTCTGTGGACAGTGTTTGTGGACAGAAGAGACAAAAAGCGTATGTTAGGCATCGGACATGGCTGGAGTCAGGGTGACTTCTGCAAGACTGAAACATGACCAGAGAAAAGACAAGCACCACTTACCTACATAATTCACTTTTAATTAATAAAATGTCAACTTACACATAACTGCTAAGGAAATTTCTATGACACGTAATTCTTCAAAACTTGTATTTCATGAGAATGTGGAATTAAAATCAGTTTCTCTAACACTGGATCACTCTAAGAATTATCAGAGCTAAAGAGAGGATGCTAACTATCGTTATCTGTGACACAGACCTCAAAGAAATCACTCTACTAGTTAGATACAAGAGGAAGTCCTAAAGACCATAAATGTTAGTTGCTAACATCCAGTCAACTGATGAAAGGATGCTAAAACCTCACTAGTAGTCAGAAATGTGCAATTATTTTTTCTGGTGGTACCAGGGACTGAACACAGAGCCTTTGCACTGAGACACATTCCCAGCCCCTTTTCTTTAAATTTATTTTTATTAGCATGTATTTGCCATTCATAATGATCACATTCATCACAGGAAATTTGTACTTGTTAGTAGTATGCCTTTTTTTTTCATTGCTCTCCATTTACAGCAGCATTTGTCATTTGATTTTTTTAATCTCCCCCTCCCGCTGCCCACTTTACCTTTTCCATTTGAGCAAAGTTCTTCCTACTTCCCAATATCTACCCTGTTTTGCTCCTTATTTACCCCTCGGGTTTCTCACATGAGAAACAATGATATATTTAAAACCATGTGTCTGATTTATTTCACTTAAAATTGTGGTACGTCAATTTACCTAAAAATGATTCAAGTTTATCTTTCTTTATGGCATAGTAGTCTTCCACAATACATTTTCTTTATCCATTCATATGTTGATGGGCTGTTTCCAATATTTAGCTATTATCAATTGTGATGCTATAAACATGGAAATGCATAATATCACTGTGGTATGATGCTTTTAACTCTTTCAGGAAGATACCTAGAAGGGGCACTGCTGGATCCAAAGGAGTCCCTAGTTCTAATTTTTTGAGGAATCTCCATATTGATTTCTATAGTGGTTATAGCAGTTGACACTCCCACCAACAATGGAGAGTTTCTTTTTTCCCTACAGCCTCATCAGCATTTAGTATTGGTTGATTTCTTGATGACAGCCATTCAGTCTAAAACAGCCTCCAGGTCGCTTTAATTTGTATATCCTGAATGACTGCTGATGTTGAACATTTTTTCATATATTTATTTGTTGTTTCTATGTCTTCGTCTGCGAAGTATCTATTCATTTCATATGCCCATTTCTGGACTGGGTCTTTTCATTTGAAGGGTCTGATTTTTTTTTTTCAGTTCTTTACATATTCTAGATATTAGTCCTTTGTCTGAAAAACAGCTGGCAAAAATTTTTTCTCATTCTGCAGGTTGTCTCTTCACTTCGTTGGTGATTTCTTTTAGTGTATAAAAGCTTTTTAATATAGGACCCAAGTTGTTGATTCTTTGTAATAGTTCCTGTGTGATTTATATTTTTGATCCATTTTGATTTGAGTTTAGTGCATGGTAAGAGATATGGGTCTAGGCTCAGCATCTGGCATGTGAAAAGCCAGTTTTCCCAGCATCATTTATTAAAGAAACTATCTTGCTTCCAGTGTTTGGCCTCTTTGTCAAAGATAAGGAAGTGAGTATGTTTAGAGTTGTTTCTGCTACTCCTAATCTGTTTCATTGATCCTCGGTTCTGTTTGTTAGTGTTATGCTGTTTTTTATTCCCCAGCCCTTTCTAAAATCTTTTATTCTGAGGGACTTCTAGGACTGGTGAACAGGAAGGAAAAGAGCCTCTCTGAGATTTGGTGTCCAGACACTGGGATACAGCAATGTGAGGAAGAAAAGGAAGAGGGAAGTGGGTTCCTGGGACCTAGAAAGGATCTGAAGCAAGAATTGAAGCCCACAGGGAGAGTGAAAATAGAAGTGGTGCATTCTCCCTGAGCCCTGACTCACTGCGTGGGAGGGTGACTCGAACCTGCAGGTGCACAAGGCCACTGATGACCTCAGAGGCTTCCACAGCGAAATGCACCAGTGGACGTAGTAATGGATGCAGTGGACTGCAGTAGCTGGTGAGTTATTCAGGTTCAGATGTCCCCCAGAGGTGGGCACTTGGCTGGTAGCCACCTTGGAGTGGGCCCAACTGAGCTAAGAACTCAGCAGCTACAGGATGGCTCCATCAGGGTGAGGCAGAACCGAGTACAAGTTGGCAAGAGGTCAAGGAGCCAATTTTAAGCCTGCAGGAAGCACACAGGCTGTTGACTGAACAAAACAGGTTCCAGCCTCACAGCCAGAACCATCCTGAGCTTCAGAACTAAAGGTACAGGCTTGTGGGGATTATCCACTGCCCCACCATAATCTACAACTGGCTTACTGGGATTAATCAACATGGATCTGGACTCTGTCTGCCCACTCTGTCTATCACTGACAACAGAGACATGGCATGAAGTAGACATTTTTCTCTAATTTTCTTTTGTTGTTTTGTTCTTGCTTTTATATGTGTAAACACTGTTTTTCGTTGTTGTTCTATTATTTCTTCTTTCTCCTTTCCCTCCTGTCTTCACCAGTCTCCCAAAGTTTATGTTGCCTTCTTTGTCCTTCAGCCTTGCTTCTAATCTCTTCCTCTTCTATTTCTATATTTTTTCTAACTTCTTTTAAATTTTCTTCCCTGAGGGTAAAAATCACCACACTGAGGGCATATTTTCTACACACAATTTTCTGGTTTGTTTTAGATTTTGTTATATAATTACAAATCTACTTCATACAGTTAAAGGTGGGAAATTAACAGTTACCACAGTTTGTCATTTCCTAGGCTCTCTTTGGTGCTATCATTGTTGCTGACCATACTACTTTAGCCAAGGTAAACGAAGGTATACGAAGACTGAGATTGGCTGAAGGTCATAAACAATACTATAGGCCAGTGCAGAAGAACTAGGGGCTGGGCCAAGGAGGAAGCAACTTCTCATCTCCAATAAACTGAAGAGGAAAGATCATGCAACAGACACAAAACCCAAACGTTAGCTACAGCCAGAAGACATGTCTGAGAAATACTAATTTCCTAAGGGTTCCAAATACTGGCAATAAAGCTACTTGCCATAAGCAATTTATAAGCATTAACCCAGAAATTAAAAAAAACAAAAGAAAATGAAAATGAACACACATTTAAGCAAGATGCAATCCCAAACTTCCAGCTCACCAAAGGCAAACCCAGGGAGTAATGGGGTGGAGCAATTCAAAACCCACCCACCTCGACTCTGAAGTGGTAACAACAGAAGTAACATATCAGATGAACGAGGCTCTAAAACATCAAAGGAGAAATACTTTCTGAGCCAGGGATTTAGCTCAGTGGTGCCGCTGCCTGCCTCATAAGCACAAGGACCCAAGTTTGATCCCCAGTACCAAAACAAAAGGAGAAATAGTTTGTCAGGTAACTACAGAGATGGTGACCAAAATGAAAGACATGGTTAGTGACTCTAGAGCAGATACAGTTAAAAAAAATATACAGAAGCTTAGGAAAATGATGGAAACCATGAGTGCCCAATATAGGGAAGAAATGCAATCCATGAAACAGATTCAAACAGACCCAAGAGATTAAGAATTTCATTGAAAGTATACACAGTACAATGAGCCAAAACGAGGACAATATCAGATGGAGAAGACAGGATTGGGGTTAGAGATCATGAAAAGAAAAATGTCTTTAGAAATAGCAAGGAACCATGAAAACATCAAGCCAACAGCTAAAAGAGTATGCAAAGAATAACATAAGATGGATCAGAATCAATGAAAAAGGAGACAGACAATATTTAAAAAACTCATTCACAGAAGTAATGGGAAAAAACTTTCAACCAAGGAAAAAGAATTTAACATACAGATAAGTGAGGAGTATAGAACTCCAATTAGCTACGATCAAAAACATCTACACCAAAGCACATAATAGTAAAGATTCCAGAAATTCAATACAAAAACAGAATATTAAAAGTTATTAGAAAAAACACCAAATCACCTATGTAAGAAGGCCCATCAGAGTCACAGCAGACTTGACACAAACCCTCAAGTCAAGGAAAGCTTGGAGTGAAGTATTTCAAGCCCTAAAAGAAAACAACCTGCGACCAAGTCTGATGTACCCCACAAAACTATCTTTCAAAACTGATGGAGAAGAAAGATACTTCCATGACAAAGAACACCTGAAAAAATTCATGACGATGAAACCAACACTCTAAACTGTTCTCCTCACAAGGAATGTTAGTTAATAAAAGCCATCAATGAAAACAGCCAACCTCACATGAATAGTCAAAAACTGACTTCTTTCCTTTTCTTTTCTTTTCTTTTTTCTTTTTTTTTTTTTGAGACAGGTCTTACTATGTAGTTGCGACTGACCTGAAACTCACTATGTAGGCTAAGGCTGGTCTCGAACTCACAGTGATCCTCCTGCCCCTCAGCTTCCTGAGTGCTGGGAAAAAACTGAAATCTTTTACACTAAAATCAGGGACAAGGATGTCTACTATCAGCACTCCTGTTCAGTATAGTTCTGGAGACATTAGCCACAATAACTAGACAAGAGAAAGAAACAAAAGGAATAAAGACAGGAAATGAAGTTAAATTGTCTCTATTTGCTATATATACTATATAGAAGACTCCAAGAACTCACCAAAGCCTCCTGGATTTAATAACCACATTCAGTAGAGTAGCTGCATAAAGGTCAACACATAAAAATCAATAGCCTTCCTGTACATGAACAAGAGACCCACTGAGAAAGTAGAGAAACAACTCTTTTCACAATAGCATCCAAAAAACTGAAAAACCTAGAAACCAACCTAACAAAAGAAATCAAAGACCTCTATTCTGAAAACTATAGCACTCTGAAAAAAGAGATAAAAAAAGGATATCAAAAAATGGAAAGACATCTCTTGCTCCTGGGTAGGAAGAACCAATACAATGAAAATGGCCATAATTCCAAAACCACTATAGAGATTCAATGCAATCCCAATTGAAATTCCAGCAGCATACTTCACAGGACTTAAGGAAACAATCCAAAAATTCATTCGGAAGAAGAAGAGACCTAGAATAGCAAGAGCAATTCCAGGCAATAAAGACAAGGTAGAGGGTATCACAATCCCCAACTTGAAACTATACCACAAAACCACGGTGATAAAAACAACATGGTCCTGGCAAAGGAACAAACCTAAAGATCAGTGGAACAGATCAGAAGATGCAGAATCAACTCCAGATGCACTCAGCCACCTCATCTTTGACAAAGGAGCCACACACCCTTCCTCTTTAATAAATGGAAAGACAACCTCTTTAATAAATGGTACTAGAAGCATTATCTAATGGACCCAATGTGTACTTCAAGATAAACACAGTATGCTATGTCTGAAAAAAAAAGTAACTGTTGATTTAAATGGCTCTGAAATGTCTATAAATAAAGAAATTATCCCCAAAAAAATGGCGCTGGAAAAATTGGAGTTCAACTTGCCAAATATTAAAACTAGATCTGTATCTCTCACCATGCACTAAACTAAAATCAAAATGGATTAATGATCTCAATTATTAAAACAGAAACACTAAACCAGCTGGAAGAGAGGTTAGGTAGACACTGGTGTACAAAGAGATTTCATGAACAAAGCCTCAGTTGCATGTGAACTAGCACAAATAATCAACAAGTGGGATGTCTTGTAATTAAAAATCTTCCGCTGAGGCAGGAGGATCGCTGTGAGTTCGAGACCAGCCTGGGCTACATAGTGAGTTCCAGATCAGTCTCAACTAACTACACAGTGAGACCCTGTCTCAAAAAACAAAACAAAACAAAACAAAACAAAAAGAATTAAAAGCATCATACCACAGTAATACATACACATATGTTTACAGAGGCACAGTTTGTAATAGCTAAATCTTGGAAACAGCCCAAATGCACATAAAATGAGCAAGGGATAAAGATGTGGTTTTTAATACAATGAAGGACTACTCTGCCATACAGAGGGATAAGCTTGAGACCTTTCTTGCTAAATGACTGCACCTTGAGACCATACTATTAAGTGAGATAAATCAGATACACACGTTTAAATACCACACTGCTTCTCTGGTGTGAGAAACCAAAAGTACAATAAAGGACTAAAATATACAATTAGATATTGAGAAATGGGAAGAAAATGTTCAAATGAGATGAGGAACAACTGAGGGGGAAAGGGAAAAGGAAAAAAGGGACAAAAACAAAGCTTTTATAAATGAAGGGCAGAGAGGTCAAAGGAGGGGATGGGAAAAAAAGCAGCAGCAAGATATATCACACACAGGTATAAATTCCCTATGGTGAATGCTATCATTACATACATCTAAAATGTACCAATAAATGTTTGCTTCAAAAAAAAAATCTTATTTTCAGCCAAGGGCTCGCACAGTTGTTAAACTGCCCAACCTGTGCTCCTCCTGCCTCAGCCTACTGGAGTGTCATTACTTCCAGCTAAAATAATTTGGGGATAGGATGTTGGGCATGGAACCCAGGGTCTTCATGGATGCTAAACCGGCACTCTACCACTGAGTGACACCCGCCACCAAAATGATAAATATCCAAAATTTATCAGATCACCAAAAATTAACAAGAATGATCACGTCCTGTGTTGGTCCAGATGCAGGGACTATGTGCTGATGGAAAGAAAAACTGGCTCTTCCATTACGGGGTACAAATGGTAGTAACTAGGACAATCTGAAATGTATATACTTTCTGGTTTCCTTGCTTTTAGTTTTGTTTTCCTGCTGTACACAATTTCTGACCAGAAATTTCATTTTTAGCTATCTATTCACAGAAAAACTCTGCTCAGTACAGCACTGTTTACAGTAATAATAAAAAAGTTTGAACCTAACTGCCCATTAATAAAAAACTTTTTAAAAAAAAAGAAACAGCTGTGCGTGATGCTGTGTTCCTGTTATTTCAGCACTCAGGAGACTGAGGCAGGAGAATTGTGTGAGTTTGAAGCCACCCAGGGCTAAAGTGAGTTCAAGGCCAGTCTGAACTATACTGTGTGACCCTGTCTCATGAAATAAACAAAAACGTTATAGGACTACGATCTAATAAAAATTAACTTATCTCTTCTGACATGGAAAAATGGCCTTGGTACACATTACTAAGTGAAAAAGAAAACCTGTATAGTTATGACTTCAATATTATATTACTATTTTTTTTGGTACCAGGATCGAGCTTGGAACCTTATACTTGCAAGGCAGGCAGCGGCACCAATGAGCTAAATCTCTGGCCCTACTATGTTTTTTTTTTAAAGGAAAACAAAAAAAGATCCCAAACCATTTTGAGTAGTATTTGTAGACACAAAGGAAGGACTAAAAGGACACACAATAAATGTGTGATAATAATACCTACAGGAACAAGAAGGTGAAAGAATAACAAAAGTATTTACAATCAGGAACACAGGTAGCAAATGCATAGAGGTAACTTTTTAGATTAAAAACAAAAAGTTCCTGCCCGCCTCTGTCCATCTCCCCACACCACCATGAAAAGTGAAATGCACACCTGTGATCCTAGCAGCTGCGGTTTGAATGGAGGCTGGACGAGAGCACAGAGTTCAGGCCCAGCCTTGACCACAGTGAGACCTCATCTTATATACAACAAAAAACAAAAACACACAATAGACTCTTACCTGTCTAATTTCTCTTCTGCGTGAGTCTTCAGGGCCTGGTATCGCTGCTCCTCTTGCTTAACTCTGGCTAAGTAATCCTGAGCACATTTTTTCAAGGCTTCTTCATTCTGTTCCAAAGTGAAAATTAAAAAATAAACGGGTCATTTTGTTTTTCTTCTACTAGTAATATACTGTGTATCATAATTCACTTTTTTTTTAAATGGGAAAAATTCATTTAGATACAAACAGGCACATGCAATTCTAACTGAACACGTTCTGTGCAATCTTCTTTTGCCAATATTCAATATCATACAGTGGGGTTCAGCTGTACATCTCTTTAGGAAAGTACTTGTTCAAAACTGAATGGTGATTTGCCCACTCATTTTTATTCAGATGAAAATAAAGAACCAAAGGGTGGGACCACAGCTCAGTAGTAAAGCACCTGCCTAGCATGTGTATGGTGCCACGTTTGACCTCTACTACCCCACACATAAACACAGAGCACACTCTGTGGGCCAGCTGCCACCCAGACAACCACAGAGAGAAAAGACTGGAAAAAAGCCATCTTCACTGGAGAAGACACACGACCAGGAGGCCCTGAGCCTCACTAAAAGGCTGTCTGCCCAGCCTAGTACACACATGTGCCGACCCACTACAAAGAATCTCCCCCATCAGTCAGGGGACATGGAAAGGGACACGTCACCTTCTTGAACCCTTCCAGCACGCCTTTGAGGTTCTCATATCTCCTGAAGAGGTCAGAAAGGGACCTTTCCACTGAGTTCAGGTCAGCTAGCGCCTGTTCCTTCTCCATGGTCAGCTGCTGAAAGCTCTTCGGAGAGGTCATGCTGGTCCTCTGTTCGTCTTCTGGAAATCACCAGGCAAAAGCAATGGCTGCTTATTCCACACAGAGCTAACAGTCACTCTGCCAGCCAAGCAATGTTTTCAGTGATGGGGCACAGCCATGAGTGCTACAGAATTCCTTTCTCAAGGACTTGCATTCTGGCAGCGGGGGACACAGGGTGACAAGGGACAGGGAAAGGCCATAGCGGGGAGAGAGGGATGGGGCAGCACAGCGGCTGTTGTGGTAGAGAGGGCCTCCCTCTGGGGGAGATCTGAGCAGACACCTGACGAGGGTGAGAGCTGGGCAGCCCTGGGGAAGTGAGTACACAGCAGGGACGGCACAGCAAAGGCCCACTGGAAGGCACTTGATGATGTGGACAGCAGAAAACTCTTCAGTACACAAGTGCAGGAAGATCAGACCCGCCTTGACAGAGTCAATCCTTACAGTATCCATCCACTAGCAGAGGCTCTAAGTTCAGGGCAGGACAAGGGAGCACAATGGCTCTGATGAGGGAAAATCTGAACTCCCAGTGGGTAAAGACACCACATCAGAAGAAAGGACTCCACCGAGAAGGTGTGGGGGACACAGTGGTCCACCATCACACGAGGTACCAACACACAGGGACTCTCACCGAATGCGAGAGATTACTGTGGATTCTCGCTGTTTACTGTCTCTGACAATGTGCCTACTTGCTCAAATTTATTTGTATCTCAAAATCAATACTCATGGGCTTTCGCCCATTTTTGGACATAAGACTCAAAATGTTATTCCACCGATGTGCACAATCTCACTTGAAGATGAACAAGGGGAGTCTGCCTTCTTGTTGCATAGCACAAACAAGCGAACTTTCTGTGGTCTACTAGTGCTGTATTTGCATTTTAGCGTTTTTTTGCTGGTGACCTTGCTGTTGAAAACGACCCCAAAGGTGGTGCTGAAGTGCTCACTAGAGATCCCAAGCATGAGAAGCTGTAATATGCCTCAATACGTGTGTTAAGCAAGCTTCACTCAGATATGCATTGAAGGGCTGTTGGCCGTGAGTTCAATGCTAATAAATGAACAGCATGCACCAAACAAGGTGTCTTCAAACAAGAACACGCCTCAGACAAGACTGCACACTCTTCAGCTGATGAAAACATTCTGAAGAGGGGCTTGCAGGCACTAATCCTCTATGTCCCTTAGGAACAGTGTTTCGGGAGTCACAATTCAGTATGGGCAGCAACCTTCCAGCTCATAGCCACCGCGGAGTAAGTGGCAGACAAGCCGGTCGGTGTCACGACTGAGTCAGCCATGGGGCCTGTCATAATCTCCACGTCTATCTCCCTGCCCCTGTTCACAGGTGGAGATGTGCTCCCCAGGGTGACAGTGTTGGGAGAGGAGGTAATTAGGTCCCAAGGGCAGACAAAGGATTAGTGCCAGGTAAAACAGACCTCGACCAGAGAACATTAATGCTAAGTGAAGTGAGCCAGACACGTGTCCTCAGTCTATGTAGACGCTAACAAGTTCATTTCACAGCAGTAGAGAACAGGACAGTGGTCGGTGAAGTGGGAAGGAGTGGGGACAGAGAGGCTGGGTACCGAGCACCGACATACAGGTAGGTAGGAGGAACAAGCTCTGGCGTTCTACAGCACAGCCGGGTGACTACTATTTACCACAATTTACTGTGGTTTTTTTTGTGGGGGGGTGACAGGGATCAAACTCAGGACCTTGCACATATGTGCAAGGTAGGCGGTAGCACCACTAAGCTAAATCCCCAGCCCAACTATGTATTTTATAAAGTGCTAGAACACAGGTGTTCAAAAAATGATAAATGTTTGAGATGAAAATATTAAATTACCCTGGTTTAATCATTACACACTATTCATGTTTGGAATTCTCACGCTGTAACCCATAAATACGTACAATGCTTGTGTGTCAGAGGCAGGGAAACGGGGAGGGAGGAAGCAAGGGAAGGAGGGAGAGAGAGATACGCACACCCCAGGACCCCAGGGGAGAGACAGACGGACACGGACCCAGATGCCATGTGAGGATGAACTGAGGCGGACCAAGACAGTCCGGCGAATCCATGGTGCGCGTGCCGCAGCGGGCAAGCACAGCCTTCTTCATCAGCACTTGAGCGCCGGATAACGTGCGTGTGTTTTAAACTAAAAAGGTTTAATTGCAGTGTTAGCACCTTGTGAAAAATAAGTGGGTTTTAGTTGGTTTGGACACTCGGTCTCTAAAAGGTTCCTATCACTACACTGAGAGGAAGAGGCCCTTGCCAGACACTGAATCTGCCAGAGCCTTGAGAAGTGTGAGACATAAATGTCTCCTGTTTATAATCCACTCAGTCTATGGCAGCCGGAACAGCTAAGGCAGATCCTATGGGTCATATCCTAGGAAAAAGATTCTCCTTACCAATCATTTGGGCAATGGTCTTTTCATATTCAGCCACAATTTTCCTAAATAAGAAAAAAAAGTATCATCAGAACAAAATTTGCAAACAATGAAAGTTAGAAAAATGTTGCCAACAGTTAAACTCATTAACACATAATGACAAATTTATACACCTGTTCACCTGCAACCCCCCCCTCCCATTTTTGCTTAGGTTTTTTAAAAAAAAAAGTTTGTATTTCCAGCTCCACGGAATGGCGGGGGACACACAACAAAATGCTGCTTGTGATCTTTGGAGCTGGTGATTGAACCCAGGGCCCTGTGCATGCTAAGCACATGCTCTACCATTGAATCACAATCCCCAGCCCAAAAATATTTCCTTGAGATTTTATCTTTAATAAGCCTTTCATCCCATTTGTAGGCCTTCACCTTTTCTATGCATCTACTTGAATACCTCAAGACAACAGACTAATTCCACCTAGAAGAGTAAATCTTTTGGCAGGGCCCGGCAGTTCATTGCTGTAATCCTAGCACTCTGGGAGGCTGAGACAGGAGAACGGCAGTGCAAACCTATCCTATAACATGGTTTGCCTTAATACACGTGATAAACAAGCTTTGTTCAGGTATGAGGTAAAGGGTCGCTGGCCATGAGTTGAACACTAACAAGTGAACAGTATTTATTAGCCTACAAATATTCATTTCTGTCTTCAGTTAACTCTTCAGAGCTTCCTACAAGAGCCAAGTTGACTTCAGGCTTTGCTTGCTCCAATGCACCTTTCTGGGCACCTGTCACCTCTGACGCAGGTGTAGGTTCTGTGTCCTAATTACAAAAGTAGCTCATTTATTCAAAAACTGTAAGGATCACCCTCTCAGATGAACCTTTCATCTAGTGAAGTACGACAGTACGCTTTCGACCCGGAGGAGTGTCACAACTCTTCTCCGGGGTCCCTCACTGCTGGTGTCCACCACCTTCAAGCTCCTGCAGATAGCGACTGTGAGCTCTCTGAGGACAGGGTTGCCCCCTCCTCTCTACCCAGCCTAGCACAGGGCTTTACATCTAGGAACTGCTCAAGAAAAACAAGTACTATAGCAGCCACAAATCAGAGTGGTCATAAATAAAATGGTATTAATGCAAGTGCTCACTGTATGCTGTATTATTTATACTTTTTTCTTTTCCTCTTTGATACTATTTTTAGATACTGTACAGCTCATAACTAGATAGTGACCAGTAAAAATAAAAATATTTCAGTTTTGTTTCCTCTTAACATGTTTTTGCAATCTGTTTGGAGATTATACAATGTAAAGCTATCACAAATAATTAACTTTTAAAAAGTATTATGTATTTCAATGTTCCTATCATTGAATATGTCAATAAATCTTATTACTTGATTTCAAATAGATATTTTTATAAAGTTCTGTCAATTTTTTAAAAAAAGCCTGCAATCCCCTATCTTAGGAAGCCAAGGCATGAAGATTTCAAGTTTGAGCCCAGCCGTGGCGCCACTACTGGTCATGAAGACACACACCTATAGTCCCAACACTCGGGAGGCTGAGGCAGGAGGACTACATGGGAGCCCCGCCTGGACAACTTAGTGAGACCCTGTCTCAAAATTTATAAAAAGGTGCTGAGAGGGCCAGGGATTTAGCTCAGTGGTTCTACCACCTGCCTCAAAAGTGCAAGGTCCCAAGTCCCATCCCTGATACGAAAAAAAAAGCAAAAATTTTGGGCTGGGGATTTGGTTCAGTGGTTTTGCTGCCTGCCTTGCAAGCTCAGGGACCCGAGTTCAACCCCGGTACCCCCCAGCAAAAGGTGCTAAGGTATAGTTCAGTGCAAAGGCCCAGGGTTCAATCTGTAGTACCACAAAACAAAACAAAACAAAACAAACATAAATAAATAAAACTTTTAAAAGTAAAAGGGCTGGAGAAGTAGCTCAGTGATAGAGAGCCCTTGGAGGTCAATCTCCAGTCCATCAGAAAAAAACAAAAAGTATATGAGTCCTGCTTATATGTCATGCTCTGCACAGCCCAAGACTACCTGCGCCAAGAGCAGAGCCCTTGGGCTCTCAGCCGTGGCCCTGGGACACGTGAACACCTCGGTGTGAAGGCCTCCGACCCCCCCCCCACCTCCAGGCTAACCTCATCTCCAACACTTCTTGCCGAGTCTCTTTGTATTTTTTCTTCCATTCATTTGCTTCAATTTCTTTAGTGATTATCTAAATCAAAACAAAGCTTGGTCTTAACTAATCAGCCTATTATACTGTTTGAATTTAATCATGAAGACTGAAAACAAAACCAAGTACAACCTAAGACAACAGGAATACGAAACCTCAGCATTTCTCTAACCCTCCTAAACGTTTGCAAAAGGGCACGTGCAAACACATGGACGGCTAAAACGTGGCCACTAGGGTGAGGAGGAACAACCTCTGCATTCTAACGAGGCCCAGAGTCTGGCTCTCAACTCTGAAGGCCTAGAACGGACTGCGCAGGACACCAAGGCAGAGCTGTCCGCCTGGCAGATTCACCTTCACCAAAGCCACATAACTGCAGCGGTGCCAGACTCTCAATTTTCTTTGGGATGAGCAATGAAAGAGCCGCAAGTCAGAGTGTTAGACACGGACACAAGACATCTGTGACTGCTTGATACGGATGGAGTTGGAAGGTTGGGCACAGAAGCATAATCCCCCAGGCTGGGGCATCCCTCTCCAGCACCCGGCACAGAAGGCAGGATCTTCCCCTGCGCTTGCTAACTGGAAAGACACCCATTAATCCATCCCTTAACTCCGCTTCCTGGACGGGGCTGGAGGCACATTCACAGCTCCCCTTCCACGGCTCCTCCTAGGCTGTGCTTCCCTCTTCTGACCGATACGCTCCTTATTTTGGTGTCTTTAATAAGGGTTTCAGGAACAGAAGACACCTGTGTGCTTCTCGGGGCAAGGCACAGCTGTGCTTTGGTCTGTAAAGGGGCCGAGTCCTAGTCTCACTGTCAGACTGTAAGACTCCGGCAGGTCTCACCACTGCGCCCGACCCGACAACGGCATGGACATTCATTCCTGCTATTTCATGAAATGCTGACGGACCTGTAGCCGAGGTGCTTAACTCCTTTCATCATATATAAAATCAAGCTTGCTACACCAAGAGAATTATCTTCTTTTAAAAAAGGAGGAATTTTTAAGAGAAACAAGCCACACACATAAGATACAGCACAGACGTTGTCAGGAGAGGGTGGCAACTGATCAGCAGTGTGCAACAGTGTCTTCCATATTTTCAGGTCACCTGGGAAAAGCTGGCCGGTAATGTAGGAGGAACAGGAGCTACTGCGTAAGCACAGGATAGGAGAGGGCACAGACTGTGAAGAACGGATGGAACGGGGAACCCGTTTTACGCTGTGACAAGCCTAGAATTGGACACATTCTCAGGCGTGAGCTTACACAGAGCAGAGCGTAGTTGGCAAACTTAGATATTTAAAACTTCAAGACTAAAATAAAAGGTAAAGGGCTGGGGATTTAGCTCAGTGGTTCCGCTGCCTACCCCACAAGCACAAGGACCCGAGTTTGATCCCCGGTACCAAAAAAAAAAAAAAAAAAAAAAA